GGGGGGGAGGTGTATTGTAGCACCATCCTATATCGTTTGTACTAACACATTTACTTATGAGATAGGCATATTGATCTATGATATACGCACTATTGCAATATGTCACCTTTAGAGTTGAGATTACATGATCATACATCGTAGAGGGAGGTGTATTGCAACACCACATACCACTCTGTTATTGATTTTCAATCACATACAATATCATATTTTCAACCAGTGTCTCACAGTTTAGGAGTGGCAGTGCAGCATCTCAATTGCCCAATTAGATTTGGTATAGTCATGGCAGAGAGTCCACCACTGATATCAGAAAGTAGATATCTAAAATAAAACTGACTTCTGTAACAGCAATTAAGAAACACTGGATAGGCAACTAAACACCACAAAAATAATCCTATTAAACTTCAAATTTCAATTCAGTTTCAAGATTCCTTACAACAAACGTTATTAAATCCTCTTTTACATAAACCTTGTTATGAATATTATGTCACTTATGCTAAGTGATCCTTTAAAGATAAAACACATAGCTCTGAATGTAATCTGGGCATTCCTCCGGTGATTTATCACAATGAAAATATCCTTCAGGATTTTCCCTGTGTTGGTGCTCAAGTCTGTCTAAATGACATCTTGTTACTTGCTAGTTTCACAAGACTCAGAGGTTATATATGGAACCTGCTAAGCTGAGTCAGCGCCTGTCTTTTTATATGTCTTGAATACCTCAACAATAAGATAGTCCTGCCACAATTCCCAGTTCTGGTCCTGTAGGCCTGGGAATATAAAAAAAAATTTAAACACAATAACCAAAAGAAAACCTGCATAATGGTCACAACAGGTGTCCCGACCTCGGAATTCATGCATAAAGATTTCACAATAGAATCCATGAAATTGTCAGCTGGTTTAACTTAAAAGCATCAACCAAAAACCAGAATATCAGCTTTCAGTGGACTGACCCTTTTACATGCAAATTACATAGTTACATAGTTAGTCTGGCTGAAAAAGTCCATCCAGTTCAACCATTAAAAAAAAAAAAAGTTATAATCCTATACCCACCATCCTATGCCTTCCAGAGGAAGGCAAAAAAACCCAGTAAAGCAAGATCGAATTTGCTCCTGCAGGGAAAAAAAATCCTTCCTGATCCCCCGAGAGGCAATCGGATATTCCCTGGATCAACTTTACCTATAAATGTTAGTATCCAGTTATATTCTGTGTATCTAAGAAACAATCCAGGCCTTTTTAAAGCAATCCACTGAGCTGGCCAGAACCAACTCTTGAGGGAGTCTATTCCACATTTTCACAACTCTCACTGTGAAGAAACCTTTCCATGTTTGGAGATTACATTTCTCTTCCTCCAGACGTAGAGAGTGCCCCCTTGTCCTCTGTGATGACCTCCGTGTGAATAGCTAATATATGTACTGGATAAAGGAGTGTGTAATAACTATTACAAAAAGGCTTGTTGAATTTAACTATATACATATATCTACATTGTAAAATTTTTCAACATAGATACATTCATATAGACCATATGCTGATCTTTACTTTTCCATCTGAACTAGGAAAACAGAAAATCCCTAAACAGAGTGCAAGCTTCGAGAGCTTGTGTGCAGCAAAAAAGTGTCCTCCATTTTTGAGAAAGAAGTTTCACTGTGTGTAAAGTTACCAGATCTATACAATCACTAACCTGGGGAAATGGCAAGATGTGTTTATTCCCATCCAGCACACTGATCTCTATGTTCTTGGTTATCTTGGTTATCTTGCTCAGTAGTACAAACACCAAGGCTTCACCCCATCCAAACACAAGAATCCTTGTAAAGTGTCTGATGGGAAAGTCTGACCTGTGCTGCACAGGCACTGTGGCCACCCACAATATTGTGCAGAGGGACTCTTTAGCCAATTGTGCATGCAAGGTAATACTCAGGGTGCAAGCTGGATTTTCAGAAAGGAAAATCCAACCCACCACCCAACAACTGTAATTTGCAATTGGCTATAGGATCCAGTAGGTTCATATTAGGGTGGCTGTGACACCTGCACAGTGCAGGTCAAACTGTTGGAGTTTCCCACCAGGGATTTTACCAAGGGTGTTTGTTTGTCAGGGACAGACCCCCTCAAAATAGGGACTTTCCCTGGCAAACATACCATACTGCAGGGAGGCCACAAGCAATGATGATGACTATTCTATTTTCCCTCGTCCTCCTTTTTTTTTTGGTGTAGCTTCCAGAGTCCAGTACCTCCTTAAAGCTATGGATATTGTTTTATGTTAAATGAACAAAACAAACATGCATTCCAATCACCTTCAGCTTTAATTTTTCCATAGGCTTTTTTCCAGTTACTTTAACCATTTTTATTAATGAGGCCAAGTGTGTTAATCCCCAAATAACTAGGCTTTTTTAGTAAAAAAAAAAAAAGAAGTGCATGGAGGGTCATGGAGACAAAGGAACACAAGTCAGACTGAGCTGAGTTTGGTAATACACGATTTATAAAATTGTTCACATTGTTGTATAAAAAGTAATATAACATCAACAAACTCCTCCAAACCTGTACATACCACTGCTGTATCACTGAAAAACTCATCATAAAATAGCCAGTAGTGTACTAAGCTAAGTGCATGTGATACCATTGATAAGAATTTAGGCATTCAAAAATTATTTGGTACCATATATCTAAATCACATTAGTGCTCTAGAGGCATCAATTTCAATGAAATTAAATTATTTCTTTGCTCCAGAGATGTGTTTAGATTATTCACGATGTTCATTTTAATATGCTAAACTATCCGTATTACTCTTTGTACAGAAATGGATTACGGTAAACACAACATGGAACGATTATTATGAATCTGACGCAAAAGCAAAGCATATATCACCCAACAATAGATTTAACAGAAAGTGTAATTTAGGAGGGATGACTTTGCGGTTTGGCTAGTACTACATCAGAGATAAGTGACATAAACAAGCTGCAGACAAGGTTATGATGTACCCAAATACCCGGGGACAATACACGGCATGTAAATGGATTCTAATTAGTGTACCAACTGTTCACTCAAACATCTTTGGTAAGTAAACATTGCAGCACATCACATTGTTGAAAATGATTTCCTGCTAGCAGCACCCATAGCTTTCTTAACGAAGAATAATGATAAGATTATCATAGGTGCAAATTTACAACAAACACATTTCCCCATTACCAGAATGCAGAAAAACATCTTTATTAATGCTTAACAACATTGCATGCTGTGGGTCTTTGGCATGCACACAAGAGTTCATTAATTTCAGCATCAAGGTTAACCAAGAATGCATACTGAGCTTTGCATGGGCAGTTCAGGGTATGTTCTAAATAAGACTGCCAAAAGCCAGGTAAGTTTGTTTTATTGCAGAAAAGGCAGTTAAAGACCGTTAGATAAAGACCTGCCTGCTTGAAATTTTAGTTTTTTACACTTTAGTTCTGGTTTTAAAAGTGGCTTAACTAGCACCAGTATGTCCAATCCAATCCTAAAGTCTTTGACAACTTGCCTCTCCACCATTGTTTATTAACTGCAACAGGGTGGCAGGGGAAGGCACGGTCCTATATATATGAACATGCGAATCAGTGCATAATTTGTTTTGAATTTTTTATTGCTATTCTGTCTCTGTGTTACAATACACCTACCATTCGATTTTTAGACTGATCATTTCTTTGTGAGTGGGCAAACATTCAAAATCAGCAGGGGATCAAATACTTATTTCATATATATATATATATATATATATATATATATATATATATATATATACATACATACATACACACACACATACAGTACATATATACGCACATATATATATATATATATATATATATATATATATATATATACACACACATACACACACCTGCCCTCTTCTGGGTCTGCGGGCACACATGTATGTGCAACTTCTGCTGACCTGTGCTGTGTTTGGACACTGCATGAGTTTAGCAGCTGATTTCAGCCAATGATTTTGGCTGAGGTCAGCTGATTGGCTGTGTCCAATCACACACAGAGATCTATGTTTACAAAACACAGAACTCTATGTACAGGGACACCTGTATGTATATGGCTGTTTTTTATCCCTGCAAAGCTGGGGAAAAGAAACAGCTATATAGAGTAAAAACAGCCCATATTACACACATTACACATTCTTAAGCACACGACTTTTGATTCTATAACAAAACTGTGCATCGCTAAATAGTAAGTACATAAATAATAAAAAAAAAAAATGACAAAAAGTCCATAGGATGTGGATGACTGCCACCCAGTGCATGAAATAGTGAGTAAATTGATGATCCTCTGCCCCAATCTCGTGTAAATGGAATCACCATGTGCGAATCACCAGTAAATTAAAAGGCTTACCAAAAGCCCTGTGACCCTCATAAGAGAAGTCAACAAAAGCTTTCATAGACTGAAGCAATAGCTTCCAACCAATCATCAGCAGATAAGAGACTCAACACCAACTCTTCTCCCATGAACGGCTAATATTGACATGACACTCACATAAGGTAGAAAAGAGAAGGCTCCTATAGTGTGAATCCGATAAAATGTTTATTAAAAGGAAGGTATAAAACTCACATGAAGTTCTTGTATACAGGTATTCTAAATAAAGCTCCATTCACCAATGTTCCACCAAATGCAGGAGCAATCATGCGCAAGTACATGACGTGAGGGCCTCCGGCTCCACCCGACGCATTTCATCATAAGTGACGTTATCAAGGGTATGAAGACTGTTGGAAGCTGTATATCTTATATAGATATCACCTCTCAATCAAGAGAAGGAGAGATCAGAACAGAAAAGGAAAAACAGGAAATAAACACAAACAAACAAGGCGCCATCTTAAGTAAGGGAACTAAACTAATAGTGCCCACAGAGTGAATCTGCTAGCATATACAATGTCATCTTGTGGTCAAAAATGGAATTACCAATAAAACTGATATTAAAAATAAAAGTCATGTTAACATGACGCCCAATTGATGAAAAAATGCATAAAAATAAAACCTATTCCAATGTTTCCTTGTTGCAGAAGATGAATTACCAATAAAATACAAGAAACGTGGGGCGTGTCCAAGATGGCGACCGGAGCGGCCGCATAATCCGGAGCTCCGGTGCCGTGCTTTTAGATCCGCTGCCATCCGGGCGGCGGCGGGTCACGGAGTGCCGCGGAGGACCCGGGTAGTACCCTGTCCCCGGGGAGTCGGAACCCAGGTGATATTTCCGCCCCTCGTGGCGGCTGACGTCCGCGGGGGCCTGGTGCGGCCGCGCGGGCCGGGGCTCCGGCGCCGCCCATCGGCTCTCCCATCCGCACCTGCTGCCATCCGGTGCCGAACTTTCAAGTCCGCTGCCATCCGTGCGGCGGCGGATCACAGAGTACCGGCGGAGGACCCGGGTGGTATCCCCTGATCCCAGGGAGTCGGGGCCCGAGTGATATTTCCGCCCCTCGTGGCGGCTGACATCCGCGGCCTGGTGCGGCCGCGCGGGGCCGGTGGCTCCGGCGCCACCCATCAGCTATCCCATCCACACCTGCTGCCATCCGGGCTGTGGGAGATCGCCTGGAAACATCTGCGGGCGCCCTCTGCATTGCTGGGAACGGGGGAGGGACATGCTGGGGGCGAGTGGGGAGAGACGCCACTGAGCCTTGCTGCTTCCCGCGGTGGCGGCGGGCCTACATCACCGCGGTCTGAAGCCTCCATCTGGTCACAGTGAGTGGGGGATGCAGGTGCCCCCTATTATTAGCTCCCCCCGCAGTGGCCTGGGAGTGGGCCTCACATTGCTGACCCCTGGAGCCTTGCCATCTCCTGTAACCACAGCCCCTGTTGGGCTCAGAGGCCTACTGGGGCCTTGATATTGCCCCGTGGGAGTATCTCCCTGGAGGGCCCTGTGCTTGGTGTTGGAGGGTCCTCTCCCCCCCCCCCCCCCCCCCCCCCCCCCCCCCCTCCCACTTGTCCCTCTTTGTGTTGTGTCCTAGATTGTCCTAGATTGGATCTGGTGCCATCATCCTGCTTCCGGTGCTATATCTGCGTGTTTACTGTGATCTATGTCCTCTCTATCCTTCCATGGGACTTGCTAATTATCTTTACAATATAATGTTTCTCGCAGATGAATCTAACCGCATTCATGTAACTACAAACCCCTGAACCTATTTTGGGCGTTATAGGTCCCCTGGGGTTATAATCTCCATTCCTTATATCCTATTTTCAGTTGATCACCCCCAGGAGACTCCCTGTATGCCGTCCACAAAGAAAAAAAAAGGGACAAGCCCAGAAGTCCTCACAACATTACCTACTTAAGGCGCACGAACTTTGTAACATGTCTCCAGTTAATACGGAGCGAGCATCCTGTCCGATCCCACGCGGAGATACCACCGCTCCCTTATCGGCCTTGGTCAGTGAAAATACACAGCAACTTACAAAAGGGGACTTGGAGTCCTGCTTGGAATCTATGTAACGCCAAACTAGCCGCCAAATTTCAATCAGAAATTGCATAAAAAGCACTAATGTTCTCTCTCAGGAAATAGCCACATTGGGCTCCAGGACAGACCGCTTAGAAACCAAACACGATGAACTTAGCCTGGCCTATGGTGAACTTTCCAGAGAGCATTGATCATTTACAAACGGCCTTTTTTCAACTACAGGCGCAGGTGGAGGACCTTGATAATCGCAATCGCAGGAATAATCTGCGAATCAGGGGAATCCCGGAGTCTATGTCTGACCTCTCCTTAATCGTGACCAAATTATTTCAATCACTCCTCCCGGATCGTGACCCTGGGTCTTTTGCCTGTGACCGCATCCATAGAGCCCTACGCCCTAAACCTCCTAGCATGACAAGCCACCTAGGGATGTTGTCCTGTGCCAATGAGGGACTTTTTGACCAAAGAGGAAATACTCAGAGCTGCTCGCAATTCCCTACGATCTCCTTTGAAGGCTCGGTCTTACAAATCTTTCCGGATGTTTCCCGGCCACGTTGGAGAAGCGTAGAAAAAATGAAAGAAGTCACAACGGTCCTGTTCTCAGCTCGTGTTCGCTACAAATGGGGCTTTCCCTTTAAGTTGATTGTTCCACATAATGGGAGCACATATATAGCTACATCTCCTTCTGAAGGTAGAGCAATCTTGGTCAAACTGGCCTAGCGGATGCCCCATCACCCTCAACGTCCACCCTCTACCCCTCGTGTCTCTCCCATTTGGCATACCCCATCTCCACGGAGAGATAGAAGGAGAGTCAGACAGGATCCGGGTTGATAGGTCCATTCTCACTTGCATATTACCTATTGTTTGACAGTCCTTGGTCTTGCCTATTGCCTTTTATGACTTTACCAAGAATTGAGACACAGGGATTTTGTTTCTTACATCTTACGCTGTCAGGATGTGTAATTTTCTATGGTTACTGCTATGTTAATTTTATAATCCTGAGTAATATATGTGTGCCTTGCATTGATAGCTGGACGAGTTAAGGTATAACAAGGGTCTTCGGTCCCTCTTAATTGCGCCCATTGGTTTATGGTTTCCACAACTCTTTGACACGTTACCCCACCCTGCCTCCTGACATGGCCGGAGGTGTCGCCTGCCCGATTGAGGGGTGGCAGTTCCGTTTTCCATGTTTTAGGGAGACAGGGTTTGGGCCCATTTGGCCCCTTAATATTTTGAACTTTTTGTTTTATCAGGTATGACAAATTTTCAGCCTGATCCATGTTCTTTAGTTACCTTATTTGTAGGAGCTCTTCAAATCTCCTCTCTATTGTTTTTGTCTTCTCTTTTTTCAACACTTTAGTGCATGAGGATTGTGTTGTATCGGTCTATGGACATCATGGCCCCCATCTTGGGGCCGGGGGGTCCCCTGGGCTGGCTCTACCACCTGTACGTCCTGTCTGCTATAGACCTGCGGATCTCTATGTCTAGCCAATTAATTTTAGGGGATATCTCTGTAATGTATACTTTTATGATGATAGTAATAAGCTCTGTTTGCTATGGTAATTCAATGTATTTCGCATAATGTCCAGGGTTTCAATTCGCCAAACAAGCGCAAAACGGGCCTTTCTTCAATATAAACGACTGGGAGCCAAGATTATCTTATTACAGGAAACACATTTTGCAGCTGCAAAACACCCGACATATTTTCATAGATCTTATAGGCAGGGGTATTATACCCTGCATTCCTCCAAGAGTAGGGGCGTAGCCATCTTTCTACATAATTCATTCCCCTTTGAGGTTCAACATGTGTATCGTGATCCGGACAGTAGGTTTATTATTCTTAAAGGCACCCCTTTCAGGTCGAGAACTTACTATTGCTAATGTGTATGCACCGAATTCAGCTCAAGCTACCTTTTTTTCAAAATTTTTTGGTACTCTGGATAGGTTTTTTGTCCCCTCATCTCTTGGTGGGTGGGGATTTTAATCTGGTGGCAAATCCTCTTTTGGACCGTAGTTCCCCCTCGCATCTTCCCAGGCTTTCCCAAAATCCCTTACTAAGAAATTAGATACCCTTCAGTTGGTGGATGCCTGGAGAGCGCACAACACCGGAGCCAGGGATTACACATTTTATTCCCATCCACATGACTCTTATGCTAGATTAGACTATATATATTGTACCCCATTTTACTAGCTAACTCTAAGGTAGCTTGCATTCATTTGAGCCCCCTGGTCGGATCACAGTATTGTGGCCTTATATATCACATTTGTGGGATTGGCACCTACTCCTTTCTCTTGGAGACACTTAATGATTCTATGCTAACCGATATCGACTCTCGCCAGGAAGTGGTTTCATCTATTCAGGAATATTTTCAATCTAATTTAACCCCTGATATTTCCCCAGCCACACTCTGGGTAGCCCACAAGGCGGTCATACGAGGGCCGACTTATCTCCATGGCCTCATCCAGAAATTAGAAAACGTTGGCAGCAAATACTACTTCTAACCGAGAATTAGAAGCACACTATAGAAGCCATGTACGCTAATCCATCTCTGCTCAATAAACAGCTACTGTCCCAAAAGCGCTTGGGGTGGAACTGAATGCCCTGCTTTCCCAAAAAACTGAAAAGGCCCTTCGCTGGTCGAAGGCCTCATTCCTATTACATAGTAACTCGGCATCTACCATGTTCGCAAGGAAGTTGAACCATTCTCTGCGCCCCCCACACGTGTATAAATTACGCACAAATTCGGGTGCTATCTCATCTCTACCTCAGGAAGTCTTGGGTATTTTCGAACATTTTTATTCAAAACTACTAGCTCCTCCGCAGTCGGATTCTGTCCCTCTGTCGGACTCTTGGCTGGACTCTATACCCCTCCCTGCCCTTACACCCTCTCAGATTGTCACTCTTAATGCCCCTGTACTTTAGAGGAAATAACATGTGCGATAGGCGCGCTCAAGCGCTCCACTGCGCCGGGTCCTGACGGATTTACCCGCTAGCTATTATAAAACATTTTGCCTCTACGTTGGCTCCATACTTGATAACTTTATTTTAATGATGTTTTGCAGGGGGGTAAGTTCCCTGAGGAGATGCTATTGGCTAACATGTCTCTAATACCCAAGCCACAGAAAGATCACTGTTTGCCACAAAACTATAGACCAATCTCAGTCATGAATAATGATCTAAAAATATTTAGCCGTATTTTGGGCGGACCGGTTGGCCCCTATCATCTCCTCTTTGGTCTCTCCAGACCAGTCGGGTTTTATTCCCGACAGATTTATTACAGATAACATTCGTCTTACTCTAAATGTTATTCAAGACGCCAATTTTACATTCAAAGAGGTTCTGTTTGATGAGTTTGGATAAAACAAGGCCTTTGATAGTGTTCTTTGGCCCTACTTGTTCTCCTTGCTACAGAAAATGGGCTTTAGTGAGGGTTTTTGGCAGGCGTACATGCCCTGTATGACTCTCCTAAAACGAGAATTAGGCTTCCTGGCTGTAAACTCTGACTTCTTTACATTGGGTAGAGGTACCCCGCCAGGGCTGTCCTCTTTCACCCCTTTTATTTGCGCTGGTGTTGGAACCTTTGGCATTGGCGATTAAATCACATTCGGATATTTCTGGCTATTCATTATTAGTTTCACATTTTAAATTGAGCATGTATGCTGATGATGTTATGCTTTTTATTACTAAACCCGTTGACTTCTTTACCTAAAACTTGTGTGCTATATTGAACGATTTTGCCAAAGTGTCAGGTCTCACCGTTAATTTTACCAAATCAGTGGTCATATGCCTGTTAATGTTCCTGACTCCCTAAGTGCATCTCTCCGTAGTTCTTTCCCATTTCGCTGGGTCAAGGACAGGATATCCTATCTGGGGATTAACCTCACTCCCAGATTACTCGGATATATTTGCGGCTAATTATCCACCATGTGTATCACGTCTCTCTACTCTACTGAAGATCTGGCATGGTTATCATATCTCCTTTCTGGTAGAGTCACGGCGGTTAAAATGAATATTTTGCCCAAATTGCTTTATCTTTTTAGAGCACTTCCAGTTCCGGTCTCAAAACCTTTTTGGATCATTTTCAGCGGACTATTAATAATTTTATTTGGGGAAATAAGCATCCACGTTTTTGCCTCATGCCATTTTGTATCGCTCACAAACGGTCGGGGTA